AAAATATTTCATGGTGAGGATTACTCAGGACAGTTTTACATATAGTACCCTTCATGTAGACATGGTTGTTTTGTAATTCTCTCTCTGTCTTTCTTTGCAATATGACCTTGCAAGAGATTTAAGATCAAATATAGTAAGACAGGCCAAATTTATACTATGCCATAGTCTTTTAAACAAATTATAGTGAAATGAAAACACACAATTATATTATTCAACAATTAAGACAAATATTTACTTGGGAATTAGCCTCACTTCAGAGTCTGTGGGAAGGAGTTGCAACTAAGATGCAGAAGTTTGAATTCTAGCAACTCTTGCCCTGATTTTCCTTCTGTTGGCAAAACTTAGATAGATATCATCAGAAAGCTGTGATGGCAACATCTGTTCTTTTCTACTTGCATGCTTTAAGTTACTATAAAAAATTCTAAGGCAACTGCTAAGAACATTGGTGCCTCATTTTGATAAAGCCCAGCCAGAGCCTTCCTGATGGCCTGCTGAGCAGATAACCTCAGACTCTTTGCATGAGATGCAGTAAAATATAATTGTCCTCAAATGGGTTCCCACTGAGGTAGGAAATGCCAAACCATAATTGCATCCAACTCAGAGCATTTGATGTATAAAATAATAAGATTGTTTTACAAGTGGTTCTTGCCATGCTAAATTTCACATTGAATTTTAGTGGTCAGCATAAGAACTGAGTTCAAAGACAGACTTCTCAAATGTTCCACATTTTAGCTGTCTTTTGGAAATAATTATATCACAATTTTGGAGCCAAAGGTCTTTAGCCATAACTAACACAGTACCTTTCTCTGACTGCCTTTCTGCTTTTTTTTCTATATGTGTGGCATTTGGACGTAGCAGACGCCGTCTAAATGATCTCTAATTTAAAACTCTTTTGTTGTAAATACTAGGGATAACTTGCATATATATTTTATTTTGGTAAGTGTTTTGTAACATACCTTCCGTACATTGCTTTGTGCATCTCACCCCGTGTGTGTGCTGTTACACGTGTTGTAAATGAAGTGTCCTGGCTGCAGAGCAGAGGAATTGGCTGTTGACAGCTGAAGTACAATGTATAGGACAGCAGTAGCTTGATGTGCATTTCTTCTGGAGTAACTGCATTGCAAGGTTTATTTACTCTTTGAATGTTGTTTGTCAAATGAATCTATTTTCTGGAAATAAGTACAAACTTACATTCCTATTATTTTTCCCTTACTGTACATGGTTGAATTAAATAATATACAAAGCTGAAGTCCCTCATCTCTGTCTTATAAAACTTTATCTGCAGTTTTAAAATTGTTGTGGGGTTTTTTATTGTCTACGAAATTTCCTTCATGATGCAAAACTGTATCAACTGTCATATTTCTTCTAGTATTTTAAAGAAAAAAGTCACACCATTCTCTTTTTGTTTTCCCAGTAACAGCTTCAGTACTTCCCAGCACAAATTCATTTTGACAATGCCTAAGCCTGGTTCTGGTATTGATTTTTTCATTGTTCAGGCAAAACCCATACTTGCTGCTGTCTCAGCCTGTGATTACTGTGCTTTACCTTGTTGTGGCAGAGGGTTTACACAGTGCCCCTTGAAATACATGTCAGGTGCAGCTTCTGTGCTAATGAAGCTCCTGCTAACAGAGGATGGTGACTTAGGTACTGCAGTGCAGGTAAGGAGGATTTAATTTATTTTTTTTTTTATATAAAAGCAAAACCATTTAAATGGGTTCGCCCAAAAGGCCTGTTCTGCACATATGTGTGAACAGGCGTACCTGCCTGCTTGATAAAGCAATGGGCAATGCAGCTGGGGATTCAACTTCTCTGATTCAGGGAAGTTTTTTGTGTCTCATTATTTTGACAGGGCAGAGGTGTGCCTGTGTCCTTCCTGCTCCAGGCTGTGTCAAAAATTGTGTTTTGCTGAGACACATCAGCTTTAACAAAGCAACATACTTTGCTGAAATATTTTCATCAGAAATGTTTTGACAAGTTCAAATGTTGGCACAATAGTTGGTTTGCTAATTCTTTACTCCTCTTTCCAATATCTGGGCTCTTCAATTTCTTTGTTCATCTCACAGCTGAAAGTTTCTGCCTCCCAAGGCAGCTGCTGCAGTGGGTTGTGTGCTGAGTGCTCCTACATTGAAGTGAAAGGCACAGTTTGAGCACTTAGCGAGATAGATTAGATGACATAAAAACATACCCATAGCAAATACTGGAGTAGGATGTTGCAGTCAATAGGCTTTCTAAGGACCCTGTGGTTCATCTGGCCAGGGTGAGCTCATTTGTGCCTTTTATTTCATGCTTGGGCAGTCAGGCTAAATCCTGTAAATAATTCTGTACTTTTAGCTTTTAAGTTCCTTGAGAGCTGATCTATCAGACAGAGCTTTTAGTTTGCACAGAAATAGCACTGCTTGTCTTAGATTTTTTTTTATGCTTTAGGTTTTTTCCAAAGGCTGCATAATGACCTGTGCTTAGTAACAGAGACAAGGACTCAGGCCTTTTCATGTTCCAGAATCAAAGGAGAAATTAAAAACTCAGTGAAAAACAGCACAGCACGTAGTTTTTAAGGAAAGCACATAAATACTCCTTATACAAATAAATGTGTTTCTAAATGCTTTACAAAAATCTAGCTACTCTATTTAGAGGATATGTAATTGTGAGAATATGATAAAACTGTATAAACTCTTAGCACACTTTTTTTGTTAATTTTAAGTCTCTGTTTAGTTCACTGCAATCAGAACTTGTCCAGTGCTTGGAGCTGAGAACTCAGTTACTGCCACTGTTAGGTATTTAGGCTCTGATTTCAAAAAACACCTACTGCCATAGGTAGTATACCATACTATAGGTATTTAGGCTCTGATTTCAAAAAACAGAGGTGTGTGTGTACGTGTTTTACACCTGCAGCTCCTTTGTAGACTCCATGTGGCATCCCCAAATGTCTCAGCTGGCACCTGCAGCAGGTTGCACCAGACAAGTGACCTACAACCATCACACCTTCCCTCTGTTTACATTACACATTGTCTGTTTCCAACACATCATTACATCCTACATTTCTATTGTGCATCTTGGGGGAGAGTGGGGGGGTATGTATGTGTGATTGACACCTGGACAACATTTATTTGAGTAATTTTAATGTTCTAAGAGTCGGACACTGCATTGGCAGCCAAACCACTCTGTGGACAAGCAGAGGTTGTAAGGTGTCCATCTGCATCACTGGAGTCATCAGTGAAGTTCAGAAGAGCAGATCTAAGAGGAAGGAGTACCACTGCTCTTCAAGGGCTGAGTTTCTCTCCAAACACAAAGGTGATGTAGGATTTTTCCAGGGATTTTTTTCAGGAAAGCTGAAACTGCTCAAGAAGAAAAGAGGAGCCTCAGGTGCACCATGGCCTCTTCCTATAAGCACACCCCAGACTTTAGCGATACTGACTTATTGAAAAAGTGTGTAGAAACTGCTCTGCTAATAAGGTGAGGTATATCTAATTAACCATCATGGTCATTGCTGTCATATTCATCTCCTAACAAAGGTAATTAGCACAGCAGTCAATCTAAAAACCTCTGCATCTCTTGCTTTTCAAATGCAATGTTTTTTAAGAGCAAAGATTAACTCTTTGCTCCCATGTAATTATTCAAATCATTATTCTGTGATGAGACAAGGCACTAAAAAGCAGCTGAAGGAAACATTTGTTTTTAAGGCTATTTCTACAGCACTTTTCTTGGTTGTCTGTTAAAAATGCATCAAACCAGACTAACTGCAGAGTCCATCAAGGTATAGGTAACTAATGAATGATGTTATTCCTAACTGGCAGGATAGGCTTTTTTTAATGACTCAAACTTTTAAGTGGGAAAGGAGGCTGAGGCTAAGCAGGCTTAGAAAATTTCAGATGGTGTTTAATGGGTAAAGAGAAAAGGATTGTTCATTGTGGCTCTCATTTATTCTTGTCAGCATAGCAGCAAGGTTAATTTGGCTACAGAAGTTCATTCAAGTAGAGCAGCGAATTGCTGCCCGTGGTCACTCTTTTTCCCCAGGGCGTGGTGGACACCATGTCCCAGGTTGAAGCCAGAGCAACTCAACTCTTGCAATATTTTGGTGTAGCCACAGGGTGGTGGTGAAGATCTTAGAGAAAACTTCGTTTCTCTGCTGCGCTGAGGGAGCGTTCTTTGATGTGTGCAGAGCACACGTGCCACATCTTTGCAGTGTGGTGACACCCTCAGACACTGTTTGCAGTCACTTGAACCAACAAGGGTGAATTAAGGCCACTTCCTCTAACACATTAACTCACGTTGCTTTTGGTTTTATCCTTCACTGTTGATGATCAGCATTTAGGGAGTTGATGATAAGCCCAGTTGACTTCCACTAGTAAGGACTGTTGTCTAAGGAGACAACAGCCATTCCAGTTTCAAAAAGACACAATTAAGAATTGATTTATGGCATTTTTCAAATGGCATTTTTCAAATACATAGTTTAGTAGCCCAATAGCATTGACTGTTGCTTGAATAGCTAGATAGGGAGCCTGCTTATTAGACATGAAAAACTTTGTAGTTCTATTTATTTACTCTATTTTTAATCTAACCATGTTACTTCTTTTCCATAATCACCTAATAATTGTAATGCCACATTCTCAGCATTTTTTGTTTTAATTTCTACAGTCTTTGTCCCTAAATCCATTGTAAATTACCTGATTCAGAAATTACCTTCAGTACATATTTTTGCAGCACAGTAATGGTGTGAGACATGCCTTCTATCTCACAAATCATCCAAGGTGTCAGAGGCTAACATTTGTGTGATATATTTGTACAAAGAAACAGGAAATCAAAGCCTTATTAATCCATTTTAACAATTTCCTTTTATGTAACAGTGGTAAAAGCCAAAGTACAGAGCACTTCAGCTTAACATTGGAATAAATAGAAAGATTCCACTTTAAACCTCTGTTTTAATTATTGAACAGCTCTCAAAATTAAATCACTGACCTTTGAGAATTTAGTCACCAAACAAGAGTTTGTCCTTAAGGCACATATTGGAGTGTTCATTCCTTTACATGAAGTTTCTACACTGAGTTTAAAGATGCCCAAGAACACTGCAAGTACCAAGTGAACAAGGTAAGAACAAAGGTCCCATATATATGATAATGATGATGTTGATGTCAGGTTGTGGAGATGAGTGCATGTATGGGGACGACACTGTCTGTTCTTGAGGCAGGAAACTCTTCCCTAGACAACTGGGAATGGGATTCTCTGTAAGGAGACAAGGACTGTCAGACTTCTCCATGGGATGCATCATAGCCTAACAGTGTCATACAGAGCACTTTGTCCTTTTGCACTCTTATGGAGTCCCTTGACTAAGGCAGCAAATATTTATATACCTCAGAAGGAGCAAATGTCTTATCTGTTTTCACCTTTTTTAGTGCCAACCAGAAGCAGCAGACAAAGTGGGATTTTTCTGGATGGTGATCAAACATCTCTGAGTAAATCCACTGGCAAAGACACCATAAATAATTTCTAATAATGGTTCTAAAATGGGGAACTTTTCTAAACACAGAATAAAAAGATTAAGGAGCATGTCCCAAAGTTAAAGCCTTACTCTGTAAATTAGATTAAGGTTGTAATTATTCTTACTGTGGACATACTGGTGTCTCTCTACATGGCACTTGTGTGCATGGTTTCATGAGAGTAAGAAATTGTGGTGAAGGGATTAAAGATAAGACATACTTTTTTAGTCAATGCTAGTTAATATTGCAAAAGAAATACTGATCTTACTCCTCATTAATAAAAGAACCAATTCCAAAGCCAATTGTGTAACATTTACTCATACTAACAATCAGTTTTACCCATTTAAGTACTTAACCTATATAGCTGAAGCTTCTGTGCATTTCTGGATATTAATTCCAAATAAAACAGGTATTAATTTTGTTGCTATTTGCTTTTTACTCCTCAGTCTACTCGTCTCTTCCCAACATTTGTTCTTACACTCAATTAAACCAACTGTGTCCAGGATTAAGTCTTAATGATTTCAATGGGCCTATATTAAAAGACATTATATAGGAAGGACTCTCTAGTGAAAAGATAAATATCAGATGGACTTTTAGTAGCAAAGTTACATGAATTGGGAGCACCCAGATAAAGACTTGTTTTTGCCAAAAAACTCTCTTGATCCCTCACACCTTTGCCCTCATCTCACTCTGCTCCAGCTCTTACCCCTCCTCAGAGGTCATTCAACTTACTAACCCAGTAGGGGACTAATTTGAGTGAATAATAATAATAAAGTAAATTTAAAAAGAATTAAAAGTGATTGCTTTGTGCTGAAGGAGGGGGTTGAATTGACACTCTCTCCTGGGAGTTGAAAGGTACAACTGTGCAGTCACAAGTAGATGCAGGGAGAAATGTGGATGAAGAATTGTGTAAAGCTAATATTTCAAATGTAGAATGATGCCAGGACTGATATGTCCATTAAATAATTATTTAAAATAGCACTTAGTAGTCTCCAGGACTGTAATTAATGCTATAGAGAGATTTTAAATAAAACAAAAGAGTAGACATGGCGAAACTCCATTTCCTTATTTTCCTCCCTGCACTACCCAGCATTCCTTTCCAAGGCAGGCATAGACAGATGTACTTTTTCTTCTTAAATATTTCAGCCAAAGTCATATAACCTATGTAAAGAATGAAAAGCTGGATTGTACTGCTGGCTATTGTAGTCAGCACAGCAGAAACACAGAAGCAGGACGTCTGCACCCAAGGGTATCCTGGCATCCCTGGCAATCCTGGGCACAATGGCATACCTGGTCGGGACGGACGTGACGGGTCAAAAGGAGACAAGGGAGATACAGGTACTATGTTCAGAATGAATGATTTAATATATCAAATGCAAGGCCATTCACTCCCAAATTTGTCTGTAGTTGCTCTGCATGAATAGGATTATTCTGCCTATTCTTCAGAAAACATTTCAGACATTTGTCATTTACCTATTTGAAGAAGGAAATATAAAAAAGGCTTAATGAAAGCAAGACAGCAAATGCTATGGAGATGTCAGGTTCATGGGATAAAAACAAAAGAAAAAGAGGCTTTACCTTCTATCATGGGCATATTTTCAAGTCTATTTGAAAATTTTAAAGCAAACCTACTCCTACTCCTCTAAGATAGAAACTATATTTCTGCAAAGAGCTTCAAGCCCACTAAACAAAAAAGCAATAACTGATACCTTGTTTGTTGCAGTAAGAAATATGCAGTGGTAAGAAGATTTCTCTTTCTTATCTAAATTATACATTGGTAGACTTGATTCTGAGTGTGCCTACTTGCTGTAACTCAAGAATCACTAGAGTAAGTTCAGAAATTGAGACTATTGAACAACAACGTAGGATTTATTTCTGCTCTAGCAGGCTATAATAGAGATTTGTCTGAGATATCAAAGCCAGAGATAATCTCAGCATCCTAAAGCTAATCACCCCCATAATACCTTAAGCCTTAGGTTGATGATGGCCCTTGTGCCCATGCTGGAATATCAAGGCCAGGGTTGCAGAAGGTGATAAATCTGCAGGCATGTGGACATGTAACACTTCATCACCTTTTAAAATATCAAAAGAAACAAAGATTTCCATTACCATCTTAATAGGCACATACATTTGACTGCCCTCTTTTTCTGTATGCAGGGTTCCAGAAATGTGAGAAAGATAGAAAACCTAAAGCTTTCATATTTTCATTTATTTTCTAAAGGCCTTTCCTGCACTCCAGTGAGTTATCATACCATTACATTCTGATAAACTCTCCAAACTCTCCAATGTTTTTCCTAAATTAATCTGTTATGATGACTGTACTGACTGTTCTTTGTTCAAACAAAGTGGGGTGAATGCACCATTCTTTACACTCTATGTAGATACATCTTTGTGGTTTAATACATGAGAATTAATTTTGTTCCTTACCAAGTCCATGAAATTTCAGCAGATGCTGGGATGTACCCAATGTGCAGGAAACTGCTAAAGAACTGTTCTCTGGTCTAAATGACTGGAGAGCTACTCTTGGAACCAAACTGCCAACTCTGTTTTTCTTCTGTTGCTGCACTTGGGATGTATCCAGTTATTTGATCACAGACCTCTTGGGCATTTGTACTACTTCTGTACAACAAAAATCACTTCTATAATTGCTCTCTGTAGAGCAGTGGAAAGTCCATGTCATGCTAGGTATAGGGATCAAGAGTGTGAATGCCTTCCTCAGCTTTATACGCAATATTATTTCACTGTAATGATACATTGCCTTTGGTCAAACTCCTGCACATTTGTCTTCTTGATTTGGGAGTTCACCATTCTTAGAATGACAGAATCATTACAGCTGGAAAAGGCCTCTAAGATGACCTAGTCCAACCACTAAACCAGCACTACCAGGCCCACCACTAAACCATGTCTTTGTTAAACTGCTAGGCTTCCTGCCCCAGCAATGCTTCTTGCTGAATTTCCATGGATGGAGGCAACAAGAGAAGTTTTCACACTGGTGATCCTTGCCAGGTTATAACAACTGTACATGTCTCAACAACTCGCCTCTTTTTGCCAAGGATTCCTTCTGCACCCAAAAAGCACCATCCTCAAGCAGAGTTTCTGTGCTCTTTGTCAATCTGTCTGTAAGATAAAACTACCAGCAGTGGCAGACACTAGAAGTCAGGAATAAGGGTATGCTTTACATTACTGTTTGGCCAGGCTTGAGGAGAAAGGATTAAAGAAAGACTCTTCCCAAATTTTATGGTAATTTGTTTAATGAATATCTGTGTTTTTATTTCTGTACTAGGTGAACCGGGAATTCCTGGCAGTCCAGGAAAAGATGGTGTCAATGGAGAGAAAGGTGAACGAGGTCAGAGAAGTGCTTCAATTTAATATTTGTCTATGAACTGTTTCCCTTATGTTTGTGAACTCATCATACAATCTCATCTATTTTAAATGCTCTCATTTCTAAATTGAGAACAACAAACTGTACAAGCAGCATTATTCCTAACATGAGAAGCCAAAGGCTGTTGAGCTGAATTGATCAGCTTTTCTTGATGGATTGAGTGTATGTTCTTTATAGTGTCCTTTTTCTATCAACTGCTAAAGTGCCTTTCACATCATGAGAGCTTCACCTTCAAAACCTTGCAGGAACCAAAGCCGTTTTGAAGGCTTTGATCTTCTGATCAATGATGGATGAAGGATAAAAAAAGCATAGGGTAGCAAGTAACCCAGACAAACACCTTTAGTTGTGCTGCAGTAGCTACCTATGTAACCCAAGAGAAATAGAAATTATACGTAGAAATGTTAGAAACATGTGACAGTTCAAGTCAAAGTCAGGGTGTTGTAAAAAAAAGCCCCTTCCTCTTCCTCTGATTAACTTGTGAACCCTCTCACCAATTTTGTATACCAAAGGCTGCAAAAAAGTGTGGACAGATGCTTTTGTATGAGATGATGTGAGCCGTCAGTGTTATCATCAGCCCATAGACAACCTTCCTTCCTTTGAGCTTATTCTTGCTGCTGCCAGCCAGAGCACCTGTTTTCTGACAAAACAACAGGCTCTTCAGACATTATGCTTATCCTGCTCTTAAATATATGAGAAACTGTGTGTACAGTGAGCACAGTGGAGTATGCACAGTGGAGATGCACACCTGCACTTGTATCTGCTCATGATGAACCTCAATTTGTGCCTTCCAATGGAGGATCACAAGAAAATTTGGAGTTGTTTTATTTTGGTTTTATTATTATTTGGTTTTGGTTTTGTTTTTTTTCCCCTTCAGGAACCAATGGGACTGTTGAAGAGAAGGGGAACAAAGGAGACAAAGGAGAAAGAGGACCACCTGGGAAACTGGGACCAAAAGGATTTATGGGATCAGTGGGTTACAAAGGTCAGAAGGGAGAGCTGGGACTGCAAGGACAAAAGGGGTTAAAAGGAGACATTGGACCCATAGGTCCAAAAGGAACAAAGGGGGAAATTGGCCATCCTGGAAGAGTTGGTTTCCCAGGGCCAATTGGCCCGATTGGTAATCCAGGTCCTAAAGGTAATATTGGAGGTATAGGGCCACAGGGTAATCCAGGAATTCAGGGGGAAAGAGGCTTGAAAGGAGACAGAGGAGACAAGGGGGACGTAGGTGCCCCAGGAGTGCTGCCAAGGAGTGCTTTCAGTGTTGGCCTCACAGCCAACACCAAGTTTCCCCCTCCGAATCGCCCGATCAAGTTTGACAAGGTGCTGTATAACAGCCTGAACGACTTCAACTCTGCTACTGGCAAGTTCACCTGCAAACACCCCGGTGTTTACTATTTCACCTACCACATCACTGTCTACTCAAGGAACGTGCGCGTAGCTCTCGTGAAGAACGGCATCAAGATGCTGCACACGGTGGACAGGTACCAGAGCGGAGAGGACCAGGCCTCGGGAGCCGCCATCCTCGAGCTGCAGGGAGGAGACGAGGTGTGGCTGCAGGCCCACCAAGGAGAGGCTTTCAACGGGCTCTTTGCAGACGGCGATGACGATACCACCTTCTCTGGGTTCCTCCTGTTCGGCACCGCTGACCCACTGCAGCCACTGCTGCTGCCCACCCCGTAGCTCCACGTTATCCCTGAATGCTGCGTGCCTGTGCCCCTCAGCCCTCCCTAAGAGAGGGGCTGGGCAGTTTCTGCTGGATTCAACGGAAAAGACTTGGTTCTAGGAAAAGCTTCTGCACAAGAGAGGTCCCTAAGAGAGCTGTTACCTGCTGGGCAGTTTCTGCTGGATTCAACGGAAAAGACTTGGTTCTAGGAAAAGCTTCTGCACAAGAGAGGACAAGTCTTCAGAATCGACAGTGCTGGGCTTAACACATTGGTGGTTTGATGACTTACTTGAGGCGTTCACAGGGGTGTGTACCCCCGTTCTGAAGAACAAATTTTAAAGCAAAGTGGGATGAAATAAAAGACAAAAGTTCTGGAATTATGTTGTGTGGGATATCTTGTATAAACAAGAAGCAACAGTTAGTTCCAAGCCAGTTTATATCTTCCAATGTGGCATGTGTAGATGGACTTGAAACTTGGTCAGTTTCCATCCAACCACTTTATCATAATTCTTAAACATGAAATTAGTGTAGTTTGATACCTCTGTAGAAGCTGCTTGCTCTGTGGTGCAAGCAAATTTCATTGTTTCATTTACAGCTTTCAAATATGGTTATTTTCTCTCTATGTAGTCACAGGTCTGAAACTGAGCAAAATGGAGTGATAGAAGGAAGTGCCATGTGGATGCTCAGGTGTGGGCAGATATTCAAGACCAGTGCAAAAATATAGCATAAAGCTGCTGAACTTCAGAATTAGCTGGTGCAAAACAAATTCTCCCAGATTAAAGATAATATTTAATCAACACTGAAGCAGCCCTGCCAGAGAACTGATCAAGAGTTACTTCCCGCGCCATAAAACAGGAAATAAAATATACATATTCTTTTTTTTATTCCTTGAATTTTCTTTTTCTTCTTCTTCCCCCCTCCCCCCCTCCTTTTCTTCTAAAACTCAAAAATATTAAATACAAATATTAGGAAGTCTCATTCACTTGTCTTAGAAGAGAATAATGCAGAGATGCCAATGGAGATGGGTCAGCATCATGAAATAAATGCAAATTCAGTGTTAGGAGCTTAAGGCCTGGCTTCCCATCAGCACCTCAGGGTACCAGGGGAATGTGGGCATGTTCCCACAGTAGCTGAGCCCGAGTGTGGATCACAGAGCCCAAACGCAAAGGGCACGGTGGGTTAATTCACGAGGAACAGCTGCACTTCTCAAATGGCAGCGAGGGAGACGCAAGGGCACTCAGGCGGAGGAAAGGGCTTTGTGAAGTTTGCAGCAAGACGAAGTTTCTTCCCATAAGCCACATGCCGCAAGCTTGTATCACAGAAACATGTAGACAAAAAAAACATTTTAAAAGGGCTTTAGGTTTCACTGGAGAACGCGTAGGACAGGTATCAACCCGGCAGAGGCCCCGGTGAGGCTGGGTCGGGGGCTGGTGACCCGGTGAGAGCCCAGAGCTCGGAGCAGAGGCGCCCGGCGGGAAGCGGGGCAGGCCGAAGGAGCGCTCAGAGCTCGGAGCAGAGGTGCCCGGCGGGCTGAGGGCCCGGCAGACCCCGGAGCTCCGCCTCGCTCCGCCTCCTGCTGCCGCTCCTCCCCTCGGCGCGGACGCGCGGAGGTCGCGGCCGAGTGCGGCGTGCGGAGGCCGCGGCCGTGCCGTGCCGTGCCGTGCCGGCCGGGCGCTGCGGGGCCGGGCGGCGGGGCAGGGCGGCCGGGCCGTCAGCACCAGCTGGTGCCCCGTGGGCACCGCCTTCGATGCGAGGCAGCAGCAGCAGCAGCCGCTGCGCGGCGGTGCGGCGGGCAGGGACACGGTGAGCGGCGGGACGGGAGGGCCGGGCCTGCTGCGGCGGGAGCCCTGGCCGCTGGCAGCCTCGTGCTTTGCTCCGCTTGTCGGAACTGTTTTAAGGGAACTTTCTGGGGGTGATTTTTCTCATGTGTGTAGTTTTTTTTTTTAATAAGAGTTTATATTGGTTCTGGCAAACGTTGTGGCTTTTGGCCACAGAAGTGTTTGACAGTGAGGGCCTTGTGCGTGGCAGCGCTTTGAGCCTCAGTGGTGCCCATACGTGCATAAAGTGAGATTGGCCCTTCCATTCCCCCTTCCGTGCCAGCGCTGCCCCGGCCGTGCCGCTGCACTCGGACCATGCTGCTCACATCCTCTTGCCTGGGCGTCGTTCTTGATGCCTTTTCTGGGGCAAAAGAAGGATTTCTTTGCTGATTTGGTGACAGTTAGGTTTTCTGATGCCTGTCTTTTTAGGGTGAGTCAGGAGCGTTTGTTCAGCAGGCTCCTGCAGAGGGTAAGGTGGCACACTGCATTCAGAATAGGTGCAGCTCTAAAATCCAGGTGTTTGCCTGCTGACTCAGCTGTTCCTGCCATGGTGCCCAGCCTGGCGAAGCTGTTGAACTTTGGGTTTTAGAAAGGATAAATCTGACCTCTGTTTATAATCTGGAACTTGCTTGGGAAACCTTTTTTTAGGTTCTCATGCCTCTGCGAGCACACTGGTGGAAGTCTTGCTTCAGGAAATAATCCAGTTAAATATTGTCCATTTGGCTGGTCTAGGGAATGTGTTCCAGATGATTCACTTGGCCCACAATTCTTTTGGAATAGAGGTGCGTATTTCAGGCTCACAAAGAGGCAGTGCCAGGTAGGATGTCAATGCTGAGACCAAGTGAAGACAAAAATGTTTCAGCCATGCAGCCAGTGACATTAAAGAACAGAGAGAACTACACCAAGCTTCATTTTTTTTGTAATTTAAATTTTTTTAATATTAAACTTGATATCATATGTAAGAAGAGTTCTGCATCTAATTTATCTCTAAGAGGAGATACATCCTGGTCACAAAGCACTACACGTGCAGGAAGAGCTCACTTGGGAAGGTGGGTGATGATGTAGGGCAGCAGGAAGACCTGGAGCTCCCACGGATATTACAGGACACTGCATCCATCCTCTGGCTGAGGATCTGTGTGAAATGGCAGCCTCGTTGTCTTACACAGCAACATTATTTAAGAGTGCTGTGATACAAGTGTACTTACGTTTGTGTGCACATGTGTAAATATATAAAAATACCTTTTTCAGTGTTCACTTCAGTCCAGTTCTTGTTCTCAAATAATAAAACATGGGAAGTGTGAGGATAAGTTCCCTTTCATTAGCAAATAAAGAAGGTGTTTTTAGCAACAGTGACAGAAAGAAAGAAAATAGGACAAAGCAACCCAGAGTTTCCAGATGTGTACTTGAAGGCTTCCTTTTGCTTCAGAATATATACTTGTGCAGATGAGCTGTCAATTTGTAGAATGTTGTTTTATTTGGCTAAATATTAGCAAGCTGCAAACCTGCAGCTGACTGCAGTAATACAAAGAGTTGCAGAAAGTGGATTATAAACTGACTGGACTTCAGATTTGAAAATCCAGATTGTGGTTTTTGGATACTGAGGTTGAATTTGGGAGGGATGGGTTTTGTGTGAAATCACATACCTTTCACTGTTCGATGCTGTAGTCAGCGGGTGAGGAGATGCTCATGTTGTAGTTGGGCAGTTGCAAAGGGAGTGTGTTGCTTGAAGAGGTGTTGCTTTAATTTAAATGAAATTAAGGAATTGCTAAGATAAGGTTCTTCACCCAGGGGGTGGCTGGGCACTGGCACAGGCTCCCCAGGGAAGTGGTCACAGCACCAGCCTGACAGAGCTCAGGAAGTATTTGGACAGTGCTCTCAGGCACATGGTGTGACTCTGGGGACAGTGCTGTGCAGGGCCAGGAGCTGGAATTCAGTGATCCTTGTGGGTTCTTTCTTCATGTGGAAAAAAACCTCAAAGCTTTTTCAAACAGTGTTAAAATGATAATATAAAAGCAAATCTTTAATTTAAAGCTTTCAAGGTGCACAACATGCTGATATGTACACGTGATACTGTAGTTCTACATTTTTAAAAGGTTCATTGATTAGTATACCTAAAAAACTTTGTCCAATTAGAAGAGCAGCTGTGCTAGTTATTTTCTTCTCTGGGTTTAGCCCTATTGGAGCTCCCCCCCAAGTCTTTCTGATCTTCTAACTCTGCATTTTATTATGTCTATGATACATGGTGCAAAATAAAGTGTCCTTGCTAAATTAACAGGCAAGACTAAACAGAATTTCAAGAATGCATCAGTAGGAGTTTGTTAACTGTGAGAAAGAGAGCTGGGAAAGGACTGGAAGTTACAACTATGTATTAACAGTCTATACAGTTACAAATACATGAAGAATACATAAACCCCAAAAATCTTTAGGCATCACTTCCAGCTCAGGGGATTCTTTGATTCTTTCAAATCTTTTTTCTGTTGTAGGTCTGCACTGTGGAACTTCTCGATCTGCTAGCATTAGTATCTCTTCCACAATGCAGAACATAAGTGCCATCTGCATTTACCCTGCACAAATAAGTGTGTTTACCTGTGGGACAGGGCCAGGCTTGATAGGAACTTCAGGAACAAAACTGTTCATTCCACAAATATTTTCACTTGTTGATTATTCCTTTGAGGTCTGCTTCCAGTATTGTGGGCTCATTTAGTGAGCCTGAGACACCTGTCCTGTTGCTTGCAATTTCTTGATATCTGGTGCTGCTGTCCAGTGAAGTGTTACAGTGTGCTAGCTGGGGTCATTTGGGTAAAATTCTGTAGTGATAATTCAGTCTTGAAACAAAGGTGCAGAAGTCAAGCAGGGCAATAGTGATGTGTATTCACTGTGTTTTGCACTGCAGGGTCTGTTTGGTGTTCCAGAACTGAGCTGTCCAGAAGGATTTCGAGAAGCACAGGACAAAGCATTGCAAGAATCAGAGCAGCTTGTCCAGAAGGCATGTTCAACACCACCTGGGCCAGAGACTGTAATGATCTTTGATCAGCTGTCAGATAGCTTGTGCAGAGTAGCAGACTTGGTACGTTACTTTTTTTTGGTTATACATAAATTCTTTTAAACTGGCTGAGCTTACACTGTGTTCCATTTTATGATTTTCTACACTGCAGTAATAGCAGTGTAGAAATAGCAGATCAGCTCCATGAAGTTTTGTGTTAAGACAGAAAATTAAATTGATTGAAAGTGAATTGCAAAGGCTTTTACCAAATGATAGGGAAGTGCAAATCCTGTAAAACTGTCCAGTTATTTTAAAGACAGATGCAAAAATAGTATGGAAGCCACAACAAGAAAAACAACAGTGAAATCATACTTGTGTTTCTGCTGCAATATTAATACATAAGCTCTCCAGCTTGTCACTTATATTGTGGAAAAGAGGGTTTTGATTTCAGAGTTAAATTTGGAGTGGCAATGCACATGTTTTAGGTTATGATCATTTATAGGTGAAGGTCCATAAAGAACTTGCAGAGTAAAGGCAGCAGATGAAACTCAACAGTATAATTTTTTTATTAACACAAGAAGAAGGCAGCAATTTCTTAGATTGTAATTTTTGTGGTCCACAGATTTAGAGTTCTTGGTCTGATATTTTGCATCACAAAACTTTAAGTTTAGTAGAGCATTTCATATTGCTCCCTGGAAATTTGCCCAAAGTTTATAATTTATCAAAGCATCATTCTTTGGTTGGAGGAAGCAGAACCAACCTCCATACTGAAATCAGTTCTTAGTGAATAGGTCAGTGAGTTTTCCGAGGTCACTTGGGTTTTCACATTTGAATGTCTCTGTGTGTTTTCAGTTCTCCAATCTTGCGTCTTATTCTTTTGTAGATCTAAGACATCTTTTGTGCCATCTTTTTACTTCTGAAAATACTTAAAAGCTCTGTCAAGTCATTAGTTCTTATGTTTTGTATAGACTATGCCTAATTCTGCTTAATCAATCAATACCTAATTAAAACATTAATGTCAGAATTCAATTACTAT